GAAATCAATTGGGCTTCCTAAATCTCATAAGGAAAGGAGGCAATTAGGTCAAGGCACACATGGAGTATCAATAAAGAGCATGAATTATGATGAAGTGCAAGAAGTATATTTATATTTCCTAAATAATATTGATGAAGTTTAAAGTTACATAAATACACATAAAGAACTTCTAAGGGTAGAATGCAATCAATTGAGAATGACTGAAAAAAAGTTCTTGAAAGAGCACAATAACACTTTTGTAGATTGGTTCAAATAAAAAGTCTTAAATGGAGATAATATTTTTGAAACTATGAAATGATTAGTAAAAGGTCCTAACTTAGATGTGATATGCTGGAGTATATATAATATTAAGAGGTATTCCTTCTATACAAAATCTTTTGATTAGAAGAGTACTGTGCAAAATAGTAGAGTTATGATAGTGGCTGAAACTGTGCACTTTTCAAGAAAGATAAATTCAAAATTAGCATCTATGCCTTATTTTGGGATTATTGAAGAGATTTGAGAGGTTGAATATACAAAATTTAGATTGCCTATTTTAAAATGCAAGTGGATTGACATCAATGGTGTTCAAGTGGATAAGTTAGGATTTACATTGATTAATCTTAAAAGACTAACTTATTGAGAGGAGCCATTTAGTATAGCAAACTAAGCAAAACATGTTTTCTATGTCACCAATCTGGCTAACAAAAGTTAATCAATAACTCTCGAAGGAAAAAGGTTGATTGATAGTAATGACAAGAATGAAATAGGCTTTGATATTTCTAAAACTCTTACATTCTCGTCAAGACTACCCAATTTGAATGTAGATCAGTTAGGTTACAAACATGCCACACGAAGTGATTACCATGAAGGGATATGGGAGAATATCCCTATATAAATTTAATTTTAAAATTAATGTTATTTTTTGAATTATGAATTTTGTTTTATTTACAATTTTTTATGTGTTATTTATTTTTGTATTGTTTGAATTATGTCTTATTTACAATTCTTTATGTTATTTTTAGGAACATAGAAAAAATCAAAGTCGACCTACTAACAGTGCTCAAAGTTAGCCCAATCAAAGCCAACCTATTATAGAGGTTACTCTGAGCCAAGCTACTATAAAGATTACTCAGAGCCAATCAACTACAGAAATTGCTCATAACGGTGATAGTAATCCTAGTCAAAGCCAGTCAATTAAGAGGGGTAGACAAGGCACGCGACTAAGAAAGCTAACTTTGAGTAGGACTACTAGCTGTAGATTACCAATCCATTTTGATTGGCAGTGGAAACCATATGGGCCAAATAAGGCCAAGTTTGTCAGCTACCTTGGGCTTCTATCACATAACAAGCCTAGTATCTTGTTTAAAGATTGGCTTGATATGCCAGAATGTGTCAAGGAATAGATTTGGGAAAGCATTCAGGTATATCATTGTAAAGTTATTAATATTTATGACTATTATGTGTAAAAGACTAACTATTATTAATTATAGCTCACCTATAATGTTCCTAATGATCAAGCATGTCGGAGACAGCTACTAAAATATTATGGAGAATTTTAAAGATGTTTCAAGATTGACCTTACGAGAAAATTCATCCACATCAAGTTGAAAGAAGGTCAACCTCTTCTTGATCCTCTTAAGACATACCAATTTCTTGATGAACAAACTTAGCAAGAATTTTGTAGGATTCGAACCTCTAAAAAAGCTATGGTTAATTGATTTTATTTGTGATTTAATTTTAGTAATTTAATTCAATTGATTGTATTAATTTGTTAATTTCTTATTAATTAACAGGAGAAAGGAGCAAAAGGCAAGAAATTACTCAGAGTTATGATTGAGTTGACGATATCTTGATGGATGAGAAGTTGAAGAAGAGAGTAGAAGAAGCTAAATCCGATCCTTCTAGCCTTTTATCCCCACATCGCCTATCTCTCATGAGGATAAATGGAAGTATAGGCATCAATGCAAGACAAAGAGGTATATAAGCGAGAAGCATGTGAGATTGTCGAAAGGATTGTAAGTAACATTTAATTATTTAATTTTTTATTCAATTATTCATATTTTTATTATGATTTTTTGTTTTTTTTTGTTATAGGAGGCTCTTAAGGAATAGCAATCTCAAGGATCCTTGCACTAGAGGATAGAAATGACATCTTTATGGTTGCTAAAGGCAAACTAGAGCATCCGAGGTGTATTATAAGTGTCAGATTTGGTATGGGAATCAAAGATTATATTGGAGTACCGGAACACCCTAACAGCTTGGGTGTTATTACTAGAGAGGAGCTGGAAACTGTAAAAAAAATATAAGGAAACAAGCAATGAAGGATGTTAAATCTTCATTTGAAGCTCACTTAGAAGCTTGGCTTGCAAAAATGAAAAAGGAGATGATGACCTTTATGATCTTACTACAAGAGATAACTGTAAAAGAACCTCATACACAATTTCTTAGATTTCACAGCACGAAAGGGAGTAATGTTCCTATACACATGTCAGAAGGTCTTTGATGGGAAACACTGATCAACTATATGAGTTATATCTAGAGGATTCTAATAGACGCTTGGTCACTCTTGGCAGTGTTCACACTTTAGGACAAACTGTCCACCACAAGGTAATGCAACAAGATCAAGTGAGAGTAGTGGTAAAAGATGTAAAAGTAATGGAGGCATTCATCCCATTCCCTACTGACAAGGTCAATGCCATGTCTGAAGCTGTTGGTACTTTTATTACATGACCCAAGAGACTTGTGAGTATGGTTCAAGTTGTGATATATTTTATTAAATATTTTGTGCATTTTATTAAATATTTCTTTCTTATCATGAACCCAAGGATTTTATATGGATCGAGCCAAAGGTAAGTAAAACTAACACTTTATTAACTTATTCAATCATTAAGATTATTACTGATTGCTTATATATATGTTTTTTAGATAGAGTTGTAAGCAACCACAGAAGACTAGTTTGTGTAACTTATATATGATAAGGCACATGCTCAACATCATCACATCAAGAATGAATTAATTCATAAATGAGGTAAATATATTTTTGAAAAGCTATTTTTATTGTTATTTAAATTAGTTAGTTAATGTCTTAATTGCAATTTTATATTTTAATTTGTATGTTTGACATTGCAGAACCATTCTTTGAGGAAGAGGTTGACAACATTCTTACACAATAGGCACAATATTTTGCAGATGGTATGTGAAGTTTAGGTAGTTTTTTAGGAAATTGTATAGATCTTTTGAGTTTTATGTAATTTTCTATCAAATTTTGTATTGAAATTTATATTATTTACATGTACTGGAACTAGTTGGCTAACAATAAATTGTATAGAACATTTTCATTTGAAGAAATTAGGAAAATAAGTAGAAACAGAATTAATTTTTTTAAAAAAATCCACTTTTAACAAAGGTTAGGACAATAACCACTATTAAAAGTCTACTTTTAACAATTGTTATCACTATACCTACTGTTAAAAGTAGGACTTTTAAAATTAGACTTTTAACAACAATTGTTATGATACCTATTATTAAAAGTCACCCTTTTTTTGCAAACATTTAAAGCATAGGACTTTCAACAGCAGTCCAAGACTACTGTTAAAAGTCATATACTATTAACATCCTCTAAAACAATAGCAGTTTTGTAATCATTGTTAAAAGTATTTTTTACCCATTGTTAAAGGTTTATCCTGTAATAGTGATTTCTAGATGATCATACACCTTTGTTGAAGTCTCAAGTCATAGCATGGTTGATGCCTCCCCTTTTAATTGAGGATGAATGTCAAGTTCTTATTAGTTAGAGAATTGTTTCTTTCATGTGACCTTATAGGTAATACATACACAACTCTTTCCCACTCATCAGGAACATTCGCTGAAGTCCCATTTGTAATACTTGTTCCAAGTGTTATCCAAAAATCACCCAATTTAAATAAACTAAGTGTGATTAAGGAGTTGATCCTAAAACCAACTTATGAAAGAAATCATTTAAATCAATAAACAAATAAACTATCACAAAATAAACATTTAAAGCCTTTAAAAAAAAACTATAAGTTCTACCTATAACGCACAAAAGTAAGCTAGATGAAAGTGGGATAAAAATATGCTGTCATGACAGCACTAAATTACTGTCATGACAACTCTCCCGGGCCAACTTTTAGGAGGCACCGTTCTGCCATTCAACCTCTGATCGAAGTGATTTTAAAGTTCACATGTCATTTTTAATGATTACTAGTAGTACACCAAGTTTTAAAAAGATCTAATGATCGGATTAAAAATTAAACATGTTACAAGTTTGGCCATTTTTGCTATCATGACAGCACCTTCGGACTAACTTCCGAGGTGTACTATTTCATCATCCGACCTTCGATCAGAACGATTCCAAATCCCACATGTCACTTTCAAAGAGTACTATTAGCATACAAAATTTTGAAAAGACCCAACAGACAGATTAAATTTCATACATGTTGCAACATGATTACTGTTGCTGTCATGACAGCACTTTTTCTATCATGACAGCTCCTCCAAACCAAATTTTAAAGTGCGCCATTTTTCTTTCCGGTGTCCAATTGATGTGATTCTAAAGCCTACACGAAGCCTATAAAAGGTTTTACTTGTGACTTAAATTTTAGAGAAATCTAACCGTCGGATTAAGATTTGGACACCCGGATGCAAAAGTAGAGTTTTTTTAGTAAAAACCATTTTCAAAATTGTCCAAATCTCATCTTAATGGTCACAAACCTATGGGAACACTTTGGACACGTCAAATAGGACTAAAAAATACCTGATAGAACATTTAATGCTAGAAAAAAGCCTTTACTAAAATTTGAACACTCGGGGGCCGTTTCCTAAAATGGACCCTAAGTCCTCAAAATTCACAAATCACACAAGAATGGCCAAAAACCATTCTAAATATCATATACGCATATGAATACACACGCTAAATATTTTCACTTGGCTCAGAGATCTCTGTGGGGCCCACATACTTACTCTCTCTATCCAAAGTATATGTTTGCCATAGCACACCATTTGCAATGCAACCACTTTGCATTTACTTATAGAATCACATACATATCAAAATAAATATCTGCTTGTAGTAGAAACTTGGTCTACTAAATAAATCTATCAAAACCACATACCATAACCAAGTTTTCTAATCACAAGTTCACAAGCAGATAAAAAATCATATAAAGGCATACAATCCACACATATTCACATGCATATATATAATCACATCCTACTGGCACCTTAATCTTAAATACATTACATTGTACTTGCTCAAAGAAAAGGGGTTGCAGTTCTTTACAAATCACAAGCAAACCCCTAGCTTAACTCTTTTCCCTGTCTACCAATAGATCCTTCGCCTAGACCTGTAAATATTGTAAAGAAAGGGGTGAGACAACCATAGTCTCAGTAACAGAGAAATCAATATTCCTTATTACAAGGAAAGCCATCATCAAGTAAATAAATAATAGATTCAAAATAACATATGATTAATCAATTAAAATGCTTGAATGCATGAGATAGGCTGATATAGCCTTTCCTGACCAATAAAATGCCCCTTAGCACTCTTTAGCTTGTAGGTAAACCTTATACCCATTATACCTCCACAGGCATAACATATAAACTAAGGCATGATCTAATCCACCGAACCGCCTATGTCTCTTTGACGTGAATCCTGAGCAGTCAAAACTAACTCCCTCCCAGAGTCAGCCTAACTTACTTTCCATGTAAGGGCTACCTTGGCCTAGGCACTCAACCTTATACTTCATATGCTAAATTCCCTCTCCCACTGAGAGGTGTTGAACACTCAATCCACTAACCACTTTAGTATACTGAGCCCACAATACGAAAGGCAACACTGAGTACTGACAATGAGCCATAGAATATCACAAGACCACATCTTCCTATTGGTGAACTCCCACCGAGATCATTCCTCTTACCCTTTTTCTACCTTTCCCAAATATTGACCATTTCAACACTCAAGGTAGTATAACACTCATAATTCATCCCTTAAGCAGTTCCTTATCCTATCTAAGGTACCAAACATAATTGCACTTCTCTAAGTGCAACTCCTCATTTTTTATGATCACAATGCATGCTAATATTATTATTTTTATAAGCAACATCATTATTAAATAGATAGTAAATATAGTTGCATTATTATTAAAGCAATACCCTATAAACCCTTCTAAAACACATTTTATTTGCATTCAATTTTAAAACATGTAATGCATGCTAGATAATATTATCTACTCAAAAATAGCTAAACAAAGCAATGAGAAATATAAATTTCCCTGTTACCTTAACCTTTTGAAAACAAAAGGGTTTCTCTTATACAAAATAGGACTTGGCTTGTTCCTTAACTTCCGAATAAATTCCACCAACAATTCTCTACAACATATAAGTGATCCACATCACTTATCATGACAAATAGCATTAATGAAGATTATAACTCATACCACACAACTTGGGTCAATGAGGCATAATCCATCCCAATGGTCTATATATTAAACCAACCATTCACATAATACCACTTAACCACCAAAACCATTTATTAGCCGTCACTAGGCTAATTTTAAATTCATATAATTTTTAATCAATTAAAAATCTTCACTTAGTGTCACTAACTTTCACCATTAGCTCTTATAATAAAAACCAAACCTTAATTTAAATCTTATTGGGCTCAAATAACATGATTATAACTAAATCAATAAGCTTTAACCATTAAAGAGCAAAACCCAATCTCTTGGAGTTTAATTTATGTCCAAACCACCTCTTTTCATCCAATTATCCACTCAAAACATTAGATCACTGCATAGAAATTCAAAACATCCTCCCTACGATTCAAAGAAACCAAAGCTTACAAGAATAAAGCCTTTTGGATCAAATTTTGAAAATTTCCTCTTACAAAAATTGAAGAAAATCAAGAGGATTGAAGTAGGAAGATTACCTATCATTTAGCCGAGCTCACAACGGTCGTAAACCCTCCTAGATCCAAACCTAACTCTGTCTCTTTTTCCTCTCTTCTTCCTCTCTCTCTCTCTCTCGTGTGTTTTTTGCTTTCCTTTTCCCTTTGTTCTATTTCATTTTTTGCATCTAGTTTGCTCTTAAAACTACTGATCTAACACTTTGGGGAAAATTACAAGAAAGGACCCAAAATTTTTTATTATAACACAAAAGCCTGGGTCAACTTTGGTAATTTTTTTCATAGTTAAAAATCAAATAAAACCAAAATTTTGCTACGAAAGTTTTAAACTCTGGACCTCTATTAAATTATTCTTAATTTTAATTTAATTATAGATATTTTATTTTATTTTTAAAATAAATTTGAGTCTTAAAATTTTCAGGATGTTACACGATTCAAAAAGGAAGAGTCATCCTTGTTTGAAATCTTCCTTTGCAAACATATTGATCACATATAAATGTGCATAACTTTACCTCTTTTTGTAAAATATATAATGCTTTTCAAATTATGTACAACAATAACAAGAAAATAAGATAAATAAACCAAGTTAAACTCACCTTTTAGTATTTTGTTGATTTGATAAGATTGTGTTGTCTTCCTCAACATTGAAGCTTGCTTAAAAGTCATGCAAACCAATTCTAATTTGTTTGCAAAAATGATTCTGCTCATATTCTGCAATGTATATTGAAATATTATGATTGAATTTTTGTATATATAGTTGAAGGCAAGAGGAGAAAAACATGAGGGATACTCTGCAATAAAGACATAGTGGTCTTAAAAATAAAAAAAAAATTGTTAACGATATTATGCCAATTATGTGTACTATGCCTTTGGGTTTATGAAATTTGAGGGCAAAGTTTTTTCAGTTCTATGTGCTGTGCTGCTGAGTTTATGAAATCCATGGGCAAAATGTTTTCAATGACGTGTTGTGCTGTTAAGTTATGGTATTACAAATAAAACCATGATTTTCTTTTAAAACCATATGCAAAACCACTTTTAGTTAAGCTAAAAGATGCACTATTTCAAAATAAGTTAAAAGTGACATAGGATTAATTCCCCATACATATATATGAGAAATTAATTAGTTCACAAAAATATGAGAAATTAATTACCATAATGATTATTATAATAGATTTTATATTTGCAGTATAAATTATTAAAAAAAACATTAAAAGTCAATAATTCTTGTATATATAGTTGAAGGCAAGTGGAGAAAAACATGAGGCACACTTTGCAATAAAGACATAGTGGTCTTAAAAAAATTGTTAACAAAATTATGCCGATTATGTGTATTGTGCTTCTGGATTTATGAAATTTGTGGGAAAAGTTTTTTCAGTTATATGTGCTGCACTGCTGAGTTTATGAAATCCATGGGCAAAATTTTTTCAATTATGTGTTGTGCTGTTGAGTTATGGCATTACAAATAAAATCATGATTTTCTTTTAAAACCATATGCAAAACGACTTTTAGTTAAGCTAAAAGACACATTGTTTCATAACAAGTTAAAAGTGACATATGATTAATTCCCCGTACATATATATGAGAAATTAATTAGTTCACAAAAATATGAGAAATTAATTACCATAATGACTATTATAATAGATTTTATATTTGCAGTATAAATTGTTACAAAAAAATTAAAAAGTCAATAATTCTGTAAAAAAACATTATCTACAAACTAAAGTAATATTGTAATCAAAGCATTTTTTATGAAAATATATAATTACTAGAATATGAGATATTAAATATAATTACATGTAAAACATATTTATAATTATTTGTAAGATTGATCTATAAGATAAGAATCATATGCCTTTAATTTTGTGCACTGGATGAATGAACTTAAGCATTTTGAGAAAAAAAATTAGTATTTTTATATTAAATACTCCTTCAAAAGTGCACTGAGAGGAAGGGTAATATTAAAATTGATGCCTTTAATAAAACCTTAATTTACTCAAAATATCTTATATTTTAAGACAAAAAAACTCCTTCAAAAATGACTTATAATTTGAGATGGGGGTAGTATTAAATAAAGGAAATAGCATGTATAGTTTCTAATTTAATTTATCATTGAAGGCATCGCTCAAATGCTGGAACAACTTGCCTTTACCGTAATTAAATAGTAGTCGTTGCTTATATGAGATATACCCTAACACACATTCTTATATTACACAATATATATAATTCACGACAACAAATAATTGATTGAAGTTTATCTTTTTGGAATGTTGATCCTGTAAAGTTTTGTTATTGAAAATTCTTTTAATTGTTGCTATTTGTTATAAAAAAAAATTGCAGACAGGTTTCGCTTATGTAACAATATGATATCAATATTATTGTTGAGTATGATATTTAATTTTATAGAGGGAGTGCAAAAGGAACTTTTTTTTTTGGAATTACATAATGAACTATTTCAAAATAGTCTTAAATCCATAAATACAATAGGTCATGTTAATTTTTGTTGGTAATTAAAGTTATTATCATAATTCCATCTATTATTTTTAGATCAACATGTATGTCTATAAACTAATATGTTGTTACACTAAGAACCTATATTTATTAATATGCATAATTTTTCGGTAAACATTTTTTAATATCTATCTATAACAAAATATAATATAATATTTATAAGCCACACAATTAATAAGTTATAAATTATAGGAATTAATTCTTGATTCTATAAGTGCATGAATCCCATATCTGATTCAAGTAGCTAGATAAATGATGACAAGTCAAGGAATTTAGTACCTTACATAAAGTTTGCTGATTGCATCATAACTTTATTTGAAATTGCATGGAAAGGTTTGTGTTAAAATTTGTGGTGATAATTTATTCAAAATTTTAGGAAAAGCATAATTTTGGGTTCTTGCATTTTTTTTCAATGTTTTAGGTCTCTACATTTTTATTTTTCAATGTTCTTGGTTCATCCATGAGGGGTGTTACTGTAACCCTCCCCTATATCCACTTGATATAGGAAAAAATTAATTAAATCACCACTCTAATATACCAAATAGTAATTAAATACTTTATTTGAAAAGCTGAAGACCAAGACTTATTTTGTAAAATCATTGAAATCACAACACATTTGAGCAATATGCAGCGGAACACATTATATACATTCATAACAAATATTTCATGCCTTTTAAACAAATAAGTCAGGTTAGAATATGGGCAATGTGCTGTGATGTGCAATACCTATGCTAGGGCATATGGTATAAAGCCACACGCCTGACCTTCTATGTGTCATGCGCCGCGGTGTGATATGCCATGAGCCGTGGCGCACAAGTTCAAATTTGCTGCTATCATTTGACAGCAAAATGACAAATTTCTAGCATATATTGTTTCCTTATATAACATTCGATCAGAGTGATTTAAGTGCCCATATGAAGCTTATCTCATAAGCTAACTAATGAGATAGGTTTAGACATGATCTAACGATCCGATCAAAATTTGGATATCCGGATGTGAAAAGTCACTTTTTAAAAAAATGTCATGCACCCAAGCGCTCAAATTGATATATTTATCTCATTAGACCACACAAGGCCTTGAACTAAATCCAAAAGGACTTAACACACCTAATTAACTAAATTATAACACATATATGCCCGTATATCAAAAATTGGCTACTCAAAGGCCTATTTCCATAAAACATAAAATTGCACAACTTGGCACAATTTGGCCCACTTGGCCCTTTCTCCCTGCATATCACCATAATTTCACTACTTTACACATTCACAACTCAATATTAGCCCCAATTACTCATTTCATCACATATTCTCACATATGCGCTAAGATTTACAAAAATCACTACATTTTCTAGAAAAACACAACTCAAACATGCATGCAATCCCTATAAAAACTTATTTACATAATTTCCACTAAAGATTCAGTTCATTACACAAACTCAAAGGTTTCACGCGGTCATGGAACCACTATGCCTGTCTAGACTCTTTTTCTTTAGCCTGATCACTACTCTATCTTGAAAAAATGTAACCATAGGGGGAGATAAAAATCTCAATAACAGAATAACTCACTATTGAAAAATATCTCATGCAACTATATGAAAGCATAGCTTATTATATAATTAAACATAACATATAATACCAATTTACTTCAAATTTCATTTATATAATCCACTTCACTTCTTTCACCACTTTTCTATACATTGCATGATCACTACCGATCAAACCTCTAAATTACCCCGACTTGAAATCATGGGCTCGCCTTAGACCAATATACACTCTCATTGGCCTTAAGCTCACATTTAATGGTAGAATCACTTGGCTAAAGGTGTTTTATCACACATCTGGACTATGATTTCCCCCAATGTACATAATAGAGTGTTGTTGACTCCAACACCGTATCACATAAACATTAAGGGGTCTAAATCTCTAACACTGTACCTCAAAAGGCACTAAGGAGATAATCTCCAACACCGCACCTCAAAAGGTACTAAGAAGATACAATTCTCCAACACCAGACCTCGTCGGGCATTAAGGAGAATATACCATATGGTCTTATCACCATACTCTACATGGGTGAACTCTTACCCTTATGATCATACTTTTTAAACCAATCATAGCTTCCACATTCACACCATACATGTTTTCCAATACAATAGCATATATGTAAATATATACATAATATATGAAATCACATGTTTTTAACCCTTTCAATTTGATCAAAAGCCATTTCATACAACATTCACAAAATACCATATATCATACTTAGTTCAAAACCATTTCATATATTAGATAGCATACTCGCACACATTACAATAAATAGTCTAACAGAGAAAGTTATTCGGTTACCTCAACCCTCTTGTCACTAGAAAGGTTACTCATGGATTTCAACTACAACTATAGCTCGTCACAAGCTTCATTTTCAATTCACACATGGAATATGCTAATCTACACACAATTTAATCAATTGGTCCAATTGACCAAAAACACTTAACTATTACTTATGGCTACATTTAGCTGTCTATTCTTTTTCATTCATCCGTTCTAAGTCCATTGTTACTCGATTACCACTTTACATCACCTCAATTAGTCTCATTTCACTCAAACATGATTTTCATCCTAATTTCTCTTAGTTTAGGGCCAAATTAAGCCTACAAGTTTAAAGCTCTATCGTTCAACTCTAAACACAATCTCTAAGCTCTAATTTAACTCTCAAGAATCTTTTTATTACTATTGAGAAAAATCAAACCTCTTAAATTTCACTAATTCAATTTCTCCATAACTCATATTCAGAGAAATTTGAGTAGAGTGGAAGGTAAGGGTTATACATAACTTACCGATAAGTTACCAATCAAAAGTACCTTCAACTACTCTGAAATCTCTTGCCCTAGTAGCCAAGCCCTTCTCCTCATCTCCCTTTCGTGTGTTTTAATTTTTCCCTTCTGAACTTTACCCTAATTTCATGACTTATTGTGTCATTTTCTAGTCCATGCGTTATGGTGCATGCAGCTTGTGCCACGGCTAGTAGCACAGTGAGGAGAATCCTCATTACGCGCACTTGCTTAAATCCAAAATGTAATCTTTCCAGGAGCCATGCCTCGCTAGAACACTTTAATTAATTAAATGGTCTTGTTTCTCAATTGTTTCTCTCTCACATCTATAATTTGATTTAGCTCAGCCTTATATGTTAAATTCTCTTGGAGCTTAATC